TGTCTTTCCTTTTGATCAAACACCAGGAGCAGCTAAGGCTCTCCCCGCTTTCCACAAGGGACACACCAAGCCCCTCGGCATGCCAGGGGTCCCCACACTCATCCTCAGCAACGACTGCCACTTTCGCATTCGGATTTGGATCATTCTGCTGGGGCATCTCGATGTCCTACTATGGTTTCAATTCTATGTCCCTGAACACCAGCGATGACAAACCCCTTTTCACATGGTTATCAGCCTGCTAAGGTCCTGGGGGCCATTCCTAATTAGCCTCTTTCTGGTCCTTCCAGGAGTTCTGTCTTTATTCTGGTTCTCAGGCCTCTGGTGGTTACAGGAATTGCAAATATTTTATTCCAACTTGAGTTTTCCTCTTTAGACTTAATCACACCTGAAAATCCACAAACAGCGTTCTCAGCGTCACACGGTGCTGCACACGGTCCCCCAGGGGACATATCTGGGCAGCAGGGTCCCTCTGTTCTCGGGTGCAAGCTGGGGACAGCTGCATGGAGCTGGGACATGGGTCGGCATGGCTCTGCCCCGCCTGTCAGGCCACCCTTCCTGGCATCTCTGCTATACCAGGGACCTTCTCACCTGCTCTCCCTCAGGGAAAGTAGGCACCGGGGACCCGCCCAGAGGGTCAGAGATAATGGGGAGCCCAGCCAGGCCCCTAGCCACCTCCCAGCCTCATTCCTCCTACAGCAGCTCTGCCAGCCGGTCCTGTCCCTCCTCAGGCCACCTGCAGCCTCCTCTGCCCTTGACCTCCACCCAGGCCTGCTGGGTTGGGGAGCAAAGCCTCTGATGCCCCTGCCGGCCTGGGTCCAAACCCCAGCTCTGCACCCTGCGTGCCCTGGGCAAGCAGCTTCACTTCTCTGAGTCAAATGGAAAATGATGCTGATAACATTCTCCCCTCCCAGGGTGTTGGAAGATCACTGAGTCTCCCCCCGCCTCCGCAGAGACTAGCACCCAGCACAAGCTGAGCGCCCCGTAAACACCAGCTGTCTCAGCTGTCATCGCTCAGGATCATCTTCGGGGCACACACTGCCATTCCGTGAGTTTACGAAGCACCACCCTGCACCGGCTCCGAGCCAGCCCCGGGATGCCCAGGACGGCTTCATACACCCTGTGACCCCAGATGCTGTCTCAGCTTCCGGAGTCCGTGAAAGACAGAGGTGCCCTGAGCTATACCCACCCTCACCACCCACACTTGCTCCATGCTTCCTGGGGCCACGTGCTATTCTAAAACCCTCACTGGGGTCATCCCACAACAACCCTGAGAGGGAAACTGAGGCACGAGGTCTTTTGGCCACTTGCTCCCAAGGTCACGCAGCTGGCAGAGGCAGAATTGCACCCTGAAGGCCAGGCCCCCTGCTCCTGTTCCATGCCACCCTGCAGCTGTAGAGCCAGCCTCACTCACCTGCTGGGCTCAGCTCCAGGTCCCGTCCTGTGGGACAGCAAGTGCCTTCTGTCCTACCCCCATCACTGTGCTGCCCTCACACCTCCTCTCAGCTCTCAATCCCTCTGCACCCAGGCCCGGGTCCCCTGCAGGCTGAGCAAGGAAGCTCTTATCCCCGAGGTCCCACACTGGGCCTGGTACCCTAGACTAGGGAGGACCGAACTCCTGGTAGGAGCCCTGCTGTGTGGCCCAGGGGAGTCCCTTCCCTTGCTTGGCCTCAGCCTCATCTCCATAGTGACCACGTTGGATGGAAGTCCCTGAGGCCCCAGCTCTGACCTGCAAGCATGCAGACCCCAGAAGGGACCTGCTCTGCCTAGCCCTCAGACCACTACTGTCAGGTCCCTTGGGAAAGCATGCAAAGGACAGTGGGGACTTCCGGGACCCCACCAAAGAGGCTTCCTGGGACCCTGAGCTGCAATGCTCTGAGTCCAGAGCTCTGAGCCCCAGAACACATCCTGCTGCCCCACTGTGAGTCCTGATCAGCAGCTGCTCTGCTCTGGGTGCTGGCGACCACTGAGTTGCTGTGTAAACCTCACCACCACCACCCCAACCTCGTCCCCAGTTCTTTGCTATAAAGTTGATACCTGGTCCATGTTTGTGGGTGCAGTGGTGAGGACAGAGGAAAAGGCTCCAGGAGTGACCCTCGGTAATCAGATCAGCTACAGAATGATGTAGGACAGATCCACACAGGACACAGAGGCTGGGTGCACTTGGACCCCCACACTCAGCACTAACAACTGTTCACAGCTGTCCACACAGACAGACCAGGAGAAGCAGCACTGCCTCATCCTGCCCCTCTGCCCCATCTGGCTCTGGACTGGCTTCTTTTGAGCAAAAATTCCCACCTAACCTGCAGGGAGCCTCACCACCGGGCACCCCCTCTGTAGTCCACCCAAGCATCATGGTGACCCCTGCAGCAAAGGACAGGTGGTCCAGGCCCTACCCAACCCTCACTTCCCAATTAGACCCAGAAGAAGGAGACACAGCCCACCCCATGCTAAGTCCCCACATCTCCTAGGGATGTCTCCAGCAGGGGCAGCTTCCAGTATGACACTCCCTTCGGTCTGCTGCTCCTGCCTGGTCGGTCCTGATTTCCCCATCCCCAAGGGGCACGAAGCAAGAGCCCCAGGCCACACTCACATGGTGAAGTTCTCCTCCAGGAAGCAGCGGTTACGAAGCAGGCCAGCCCACAGCTGCACACCAATGATGCCAAAGATGAAGAAGACGAAGAAGCAGAGCAGGAGGACATTGCCCAGCATGGGCAGCGTGTCCAGGAGCAGGTTCACCAGGATCCGCATGCCTGCAGGGTGGAGAGGGTGAGGTCAGCAGGAGCAGCGCAAGAGAGAAGTGAGTGACCAAGGAGAGGCCAGGACACACAGGCAGAGGAGCTCCCCAGCTCCAGCCAGCTGTGAGCACCAGATCAGCCCGGCCCTTCCTATTTGCTCCTCTCCCAGAAAGCCAGGGAAATGGCTCTGGGCCCCACCGCACTTACACTGGATCTCAGCGGGTCGAATAGGTATCTATGGGACACTTCTATGGACATATGGTCTCCCTCAGGCCTGTGAGGTTGGCGGCACCATCTCTATGTTACACTAGGACACAATGGGAGGCGCAAAGAACCGAAGCGACACGCCCGTGGACCCAGGCTAAGAAGCAGCGAGGCCTGGATTTAAACCAGGTGGCCTGACACCAGCTCCAGCTCTCCTTCTGTAACTCATCACCCTCTTCCTGGTAAACCCCTGTTTAATCACCACTGCCCCGTGAAAGCTTTTTCTGTGAGTCTTTCAGACCCTTTCTCACTCCATCCCCAGGAGAGTTCATTTCTCACTCCTCTGCTGTAGATAATCTCAGCACCTCTGACTACCTGCACAGTGATGCAGGTTGTATACTGCACAACCTAAGAGGATTCTGCTTCCATCGACATTTGGCCTTCCAGCCTAAGGGTTGCCTGTCCTATCTCCTCTACTGAGCTCCTGGCAGCAGGGTCTGTGTCTGAGTCACCTCAGCGTTCCAAGAACCCAGCAGGTCCTGGCTCAGCCAACATGGCTCAGCCAGTACGGCTGCTCATGAACCACGGGTGTGATAAGTCATGGGAAGAGAGGAAGACGGGGTGGGGGATGACGGGATGGTGACAACAGAACAGTGGTCCTGTCCAGATTTTCACTCATGCCAGGGGTGGGCTGAGGTGGTTATTAATGAGGCTAAGTATTGGGGATTTGCATCACGAACTCTATGTGGAGTGATTTTCAATCAATAATTAATTCCCACCCCCACCTCCCTCCCCACAAAACTAGGTCAGCCTCCTCCCAAGACAGCAATGGGGCTCCCTGGCAGCCTGCTCCATCCCTCTGAGAGTTGCCAAGGGCTTGATGCCTCACCTTTCTCTGCCCCCACACCGGGCACCCGAGGCCCCTACGTGATCCACACAAATGGGTCCAACTGACTGAGGTCAGGGGATCGCAGGCCCTCCTTGCACCCCGCCATTCATGCACCCACGAACACCTTCCTCAAATACCAGATAGCTGCCTGCTGTGTGCCCAGCAGTGCTGAGCACCCAGGGAATCCAGAGATGAACAAGACCAGGTTCGTCCCCGCCTCCCCGAACTGGTAGCCTAGCAGCAGGGAGACCACAGCGCTGAGCAAAAGGACCAAGGCCAAGGCACATCTGGGCAGAGGCTGGCTTTGAGCCCTGCAGGACGAGCTGCTGGCCAGACTCAGGAGCTGGCATGGCCAAGGCACAGGGGTGACCCTGCAGAGTGAGATCGTGGGGGCCTACAGGGGCCCTGTGGAGGGGCCCCAGAGTGTGGGGCTCAAAAGACTGGTCACTGTGGTCTTCTGCAGATTTCCAAGCAGGTGGGGGCCTTGATCAGCTTGGAAGGGGCAGAGGCTGGGGCAGCAGCTGGAGGACAGGCTGGACCGGAAGCGGGAGCTCGGGAGGAGGCGCTTGGCAGCCCCAGAGCTGCTCAGGGCCGCTCCCTCAGCTGCCTGTGTTGCTCAATTAATTACCTTTCCCTTGTTCTCCAGGATATTGAAATTCCGGAGGGCTCTGAAAACCTGCCCAGCTGCCTTCTCCGAATGGACCCACCTCCTCCTCTCCTGGCTCCCGCTCCCCAGCTGGGCCCCAGCTCCCTCCACAGCCCTCCCTGGGGGCCCTGGAGTTCCAGGGCCACAGAGCCAGGCATAATTAGCTAATTAGGGACTTAGAAGGAGCTCCGAGCCAGGAAAAGGGGCCACGGGATTAGGGAGGCAGAGGAGCTGGAGAGACCTCAGCTAAGCTTCCTTTTATGTCCTCGGTCAAGTAATTACCAGACAGGTTGGATGGTTACTCTCTGCCCTCGGTCCCCTGGCACAGGCCCAAGAGGTGGAGGAGGTCGAGTTGGGGAGAGGAGAGGAACCAGCGGCAAAGAACCGCGGTTCAGGAGACAGAGGGAGGCAGACACACAGCAGTTGAAGCACAGAGGAGGGACAGGGAGGGGCGGGTGCAGGGTGGCTGGTGCCCCGACAAGTGCACACAGTGGAGAGAAGGACAGACAGACAGACAGAAGGAGAGAGCAAACCACCTGCGTGTCACCCTCTGCCTCTCTCACCCCGCTCCCCTCCCCCTCCCAAGCCCTCCTCCTCCTCCTCCAGGCAGCCTCCATGCCTCCTTCCTCCCTTCCCACCCAGCCAGATGACCCCTAAGTATGACCAAGAACCTGCTCCCAGCCATGAAGGGGAAAACCACCCAGGACTGATCTGGGTTCCAGGCCAGGCTGGGTGATTGAGAGATAAAACTCAGTCTCTCTGGGCCCCTGGTGGCCTCATCTACAGAAGGTAAGCTGGGTATGGTAGCAGACGCCTATAATGCCAGACTCTGGGAGGCTGAGGCAGGAGGATTTTGAGATCAGATACTCACTGGCAGGGAAATCCTCACCCCCATCCTGTGCCCCACACCACACCCCTCCTGTCCTCTGCTGGCCCATGAGGTGCTGCTACCCCCTTCTGCCCTCAGGTTGGGGACCCAGCCATGGCCTCTGCTCCAAGGGATCCTGGGCAGGGGAGGCCTCAGTGGCCATAGGCAGAGGTGACAGAGGTGACAGGAGGAGGGTGCCCGTCCAGTCAGGCCTTTCCCCTCGAGGTTCAGGGTGCTCTCAGACAGAGCTGTCAGTCCAGATTAGCTCCGCCACTCTGCCAGGCCAGTTCAAGTAGAAACACTGAACACATGCCAGCCTATGCCAGGGGCATAGCCCATGGCAGAGAGGGGGTGCTGAGGGAGCAGGGTGCCAGGCTGTGGCCTGGCCCCCAGGGGCCCTCACTCTCTGCTGGCGGAGGCTGCTCAGCTCTGCTGCTCCTGCTGCTGCCCCTGCCAACCAGAGTGCAGGGGAGCTCAGGCCAGGCCCAGACGCCAGGCTGCTGAGGTCCCAGCTGCCAGCCCGTGTCCCATGCTTGTGGTTCCCGTCCAGGTGTCTGCCTGCAGGAGGGGCTGTGGCTCAGCGTCCTCTCTGACCCCAGCTGTGCTGCCCCAGCCTGGTGGCCCCCATGAAGGAGTCAGTCAGTCAGTCAACACCAGTATCTGGAGCCCACGCCTACCCTAATCTCAGCCCTTGTCCCTGGGCACCACCTGTGCCTGGCCTAGTCCAGCTCCACACACCTCTTCCGCAGCCCCAGCTGCTCGTCCTTCCCCATCCCCAAGTCACCTCTCACCAGATACCTGGCCAGACGTTCTCTATCCACTCACCTCTCACCCCTTTCCCCAGCTCACCTTCCAAGAGACAGCCCAAAGTCCCAGGTGAAGTTAGGGTAAGGCAGCCCCCAGCCATCCTTTGCTGCCACCAACCCCTAAGGAAACACCCACTCCGGGGAGTTTGGCTCCTGGCACAGTTCTTTCCCCCAGATTTCATCCAGGATGGAGCTCCCCACAGTCCTTCTGAGAAGGAACCCCAGTCCCATAGCCCCCTCACGGGTGGCTGGTAGCTGAGTCAGGGCTGAACTTGGGGGTGACAGCCAGAAAGAGTGTGGCCAGGGCCTGGGCCTCACAGTGACTGCCTTGGTTTCTAATGGAAGAAAACACACCTTGAATAGGATCAGGAAAGCCAAGTGCAGTGCCACGTTTATAATCCCAGCATTTTGGGAGGCTGAGGCAAGAGGATCACAAGTTCAAGCCCAGCCTGGGCCACTTAGTTACTTAATATGATTGTCTTTTAAAAAAAACCCGAAGGGCTGGGACTCTAGCTCAGTGTGAAGAAAGCCTTAGGTTCAATCCCTAGTACTGCTGAAGAAAACAAATACAGGAGGGGTCTCCCAACTCAAGAGCTTCCACCCCACCCCACCCAGCCTGCTCCTCAGTGCCATCTCCTTCCCTTTACCCATCAGAGACCCGGACAGAAGCCAGGACACAGACTGCAGGGTGGCCCGGAAGGACTAATCTTACAAGATTCCCTAGAGACCACCCTGAGGGCTGGGGCCCCATCCATCCTGGATGAAGCTGAGAACGAGCATCTAATCCAGTCCCTCCTCCTGCACTGTGCAAGTGGGGACACTGAGGCTCAGGTCACACAGAGGGCTGATGGCAGAGCTGAGACCAGAATTCCCTGGCCCCCAACGAATCTTCCTTGTGGACTGAGTTGGGGCTTTGCAGCCTGTGCTGGGTGGTTGGTTGGTGGTTGGTTGATAGCTGGTTGGTGGCTAGTTCTGTGGTCCTGGGGATTACATTACAGTCATGGAGCACCCTCCTCGACCTCTGTAGAATTCTAAATGGCAAACTCCATCCACCACCCCACCCCACCCCCGCAGATTTGCAGCCAACAGCCCCCATTTAACTTCCCCTGGTACCCGCTCTCTAGCTTGCCATCTAGTGGCAAAAGTGAGAGCTGCAAGTTACAGTCGAACACATCCCAGGGCGGACACAACCCTAAAGATGGCACCAATTAGCGGGGCTTCTGGCAAACTCATGTTTAGAAAGAGAAGAGACCCACAGTAGCCCCTAGGAAGCGCCTCTAGGTGCCCACGCTTCCTCCCAAGCCATTCATTCCCTGGCAACTCTGGGGAGGGCCAAAAGCAAAGCGGAACCTGGACCAGTGGACCTCAGAGATCCCCCTCCGGCTCCCGGTGATTAAAGCAAGAGAGGACAGGACTTTATCCTAAGGTCCCTTCCAGGGAACACCCAGGGGAGCTCTGGAAGTCAGAGCTCCAGCCTCCCCCGGAGGACCCAGGGCTGCTTCGGAGGAATCGGGGCCTCCCAGGGGGGCCATTAGCAGGGAGAAAGCCCTGAGGACAGACGAGGCGCCTCTCCTCCGGCACGAGGCTCCTATAATTGGAGCGTCCAGGGCGGGGATGCTGGGCTGGTGGCAGATCCTGTCCTTCTCCAGAGAACGGGCAGGCGGGCTGGCACCGGGGACAGCGAGTGACCGCTGCAGCCAGGAGCCACTTAATGAGCTCCACGCACAGCGGGAGGGTGGCAGGGGCCACAGAGGGAAGCAGAGGCACCGGTGCAAACACGCTCCCCTGAGTACACCACAGTGACAGGTACACACGACAGACATGTGCGCACGCCCCGCAGCACACTCACACATGCACACGCCTTCTCCCACAGACACACGCAGCTTCTCGCCCCCACACCACGCAGAAGCACGGAAGCCACCCAGCCAGCATGTGACCCGCAACCTGAGCGCCTGCCCTGCACCCCGCCCCTTCCCACATGCACGAACCCCTCCCGCTGCCGTTGCCCCCCTCGCCCAAGAGCTGCTCTAGGCCCACAGCGCAGGATCCCCAGTCCCCAGTGCCCCCATGTAGGCCCTCAGCACTGCACACACAGCCCTGCAAGGGGCCAGGAGTGTGACAGTAGTGCACGTGGCTGTCTTCTGAGGGACAGAAATGGAGAGCACTGAGGGGAGCCCCAGGAAGGCAAGGCCCCCCTCTGCACTCTCGCTGCTGTGTCCCCCCAAAACACTGAGTCAGCCAGTTCAGACCCTGGCCAGGCCCAAGAGCGCCTCCTCCATCCATTCACTACCTAGGCTCTGCCTTCCTCCACCCACATTACCCAGGGGTCCCCTCCACCCCGCCCCCCACTAACCTCTCCCATGGCTCCTGTGGCCCCGGAGCACACAAGCCTATCCTGGTTCAGCCCTGTCTTCTCCATCCTGGTGCCCCAGCGGCACCCAGCCCTGGCCCTGACATGGACCCGTGAACCCAAAGGCTCTGGAGGGGCTCAGCTCAGACTCCACCTCCCCAGGGAGACTCGGGTCACATGGCCGGTCCCCTTCGTCCCCTAAAACCCCTGGCTGAGCGCTTGAAGCCTGTGGTCCAGCACAGGACAGCCCCTTGCTATCTTCTCACCACCTGGCACAGTGCTGGGTGCTGAGCAGACGAAGTCCACCTTTGGGCCCTTTTGTCAGTTAAGGCAGGTGGGGCTGAGGGCCAAGTAGACGCATGGCGGGGGAGCAGCTCTGGTTTAATCTGGTCTCTGCCGAGCAGCTGCTATGTGACCCTGGCTGGGGACAGCCCCGTGTGCGAGCCTTCCCTGTTTGTCAGGGGGAAAAGATGGTTGTCAGCCAGGGCTTCTCTAAGGAACCTTCTAGGACTGTGGGGGTGAGAAGGACACAGCGAAGATGCCCCCCAACACAGCCCCTCGGGTGTCCCAGCCCCGGCCTAGCCGTCAGGCTGAGTGGCTCCTCCTCCCACCCCCCTCCATTGCTCTCCGGACCCCTTGGGGTTTCCCACTGTGCCAAGGTGGCCCTGGATGTGTCATCTAAGACCTGGCATCTCTGCCAGCTGCCTCAGCTCTGCACATGCAGGAATCAGGTCACCCTTGGGGCCCAGCCAGCCCCAGCCTCTTGCTGGTCACCCTGTTATGCACATGTCCCAGGGCGTGGCGTGCAGTGCCACCACCCCACCCAGGTTCTGCAAGCCCAATGAGGCCAGACTCTCCAGGCAGGCAGCAGAGGATGGAGGAGAGGGGGCTGGGTGGGGCCCCCCCGGGACAGGGGCTGGGCGCGGGGCCTTTGCTGACCCTGGGGAGGGATCAAGGTGCACAGCGGGACACTGAGGCTCAGGCAGGAAAGGGAAACAAGGATCCGGGCTGAGCCAGGGAAAGAGCCAGGCACAGGCAGAACTCTGTTCGGATCACTGCCCTGCCTTTGAATTGTTGTGTGACCTTGCAAGAGACACTTAAGCTCTCTGGGGTCACACAAGCTGTAGAGAAGGTTAAATCAGACAGACATCAGTTTGCCAAGTGCCTGGACCCTGGTGGGGTGGGAGGTGCTTACACAAGTAACTGTCCTTCCCCAAGAGGAAGGAAAGCCCCCACAGTCAGGATCCTCCTCTGGGGACCCCCATCCCCAGGTCCCCAGGCCACTCCTAACATAGGGCAGTGGAGGGGCTGGGAACCTAACTGGCCCCTGCAGCTGCTGCCCCCTGGTAGTGGATCCTCAAATGGGTGTCTGGGTTTCCATCTCTAAATTGAGAACAGCTCACCCCACCCACCCCAGGGCAACTGTGAGGCTCACAAGATCCAGAGATGCACATGGGATACGCCTGGGCAGACATCAGGACTTCTGGTGATGAGGTGACCTCTCTTATCCACTGAGGGTGGATGGATTAGATGGATTAGATGGATTAGATGGATTAGGTGGATGGATGAGTGGATGGGTAGGTGGATGATGGATGGATGGATGGACGAGTGATTGGGTAGGTGAATGGATGGATAGAGGGATGGAAGGATGGATGAGGTGATGGATGGGTGGGTGGATGTGTGGCTGGATGGAAGGAAGGAAAGAAGGAAAGGAGGAGGGTAAGTAGATGGGTGAGTGAGTGAGCAGACAGAGGGGTGAGTGGTACGTGGTCCTGAGGGTGGGTGGGTGACAGAGCTCAAGTCAGGGTGACAAGTAAGGGGTCAGGCCTCACTGCCCAGGGAAGTGCTGCACCCCCCTCACCCTAAACAGCTTTCTGCTCACACTAAGCAGCTCGGCTCCGCCCCCCAGTCTGAGCAGCCCACCCCCATAGGCAACTTCTGTCCCCCAACAGTAAGATCCCCAAGATGCTGCAATCCGGGTTACTTTGGAACTCAGCTCTCAGGGGCACCTTGCAGTGGCTTCACACTGCTTCCGTCCCGCAGCAGCCAGGCCGGCGGGGCCGGCGCAGGGCACAGGGAAGGGCGACTCACTGGGCACACGGTTGATGGCTTTGAGGGGCCTCAGGACGCGCACGGTGCGGATGGCTGACAGGTTGATGTTCTGAAGGTCCAGGGAGTACTCCACCATCCTGCGGAGAGATGGAACACAGTGAGGGACAGTGCAGAGGTGGCCCTGCGGGGGTCGCTGGCCACCGGGCCCACCCACACCCACTCTGCAGACGGTGTGTACAGCCTCGGCTATCTGCCTGACCTCTATGTCCCCCTCTGTAAACCGGGCTGGTGACAGGGGAAGGGTCCACAGACACAGAGGGGTAGACGGGGTGACAAGAACAGAGACATCAGCTCCCCCTGCAAGGCCAGCACTGAGCTTCTGTCTGCTGCCCTTCTGTCCCATCCACCTGACCCCCAGCTGGTGTGAGCCCCGACTTCTAGAGCTCCCCCCCACCAGACCACCTTCCATTGCACCCACTCCTGAGAGGAGAATGGAGGTGCTGAGGGGTCCCCAAGGCGACTCCTCAGGGATTGTCCATCCTGGTCACATCAACAGCCATGCTGTGAACCCTTGCCACCCCTAGAAGCTGATCACGCCAGGGGTCTAAGCCCTGATGTGAGGGGAGAGGGCAAAGCTCAGAGAGAGGACTTTCTGTGCCCTGTGTCACCCAGCAAAGGGGTAGAGATCTGAGTTCAAAGCCCCCTGCTCCAGCACTGTGGCCCTGCCCAGCCTCTGCAGGTGAGGCAGCTTAGGTGCCGCCCTGGGCCGTGGCAGCAAAGTACAGCACTGTGGGCTCTCAGGGAGCCCCCCACCCCAGAGCTTTTACCCACATGGTCCCTTTTGCCTGGAGGGTCCCCTCATCCTCATCCAGCTCATGCCCAAGCTTTCCTGCAGGTGCCCTGGAGTCCTCAGAGCCTCTCTGGGGAGACATCCCCGCCTAAGAACCCAGCCCCTGTCCCAGGAGCACCCAGGCAGGCAAGGAGACAAAGGCCAAGACTATAGATGGCAGGCCCTCAGCGCTGCCCTGGACCCTCCCACCCTCCCCAGGCAGCTGCCCCACCCATTCAACGACCCATCTGCAGCCTCCCCCAGCGGGTCTCCCCCAGCCATCTTTGGGGACCCTCCACAGTCCCCTGTGCTCCTATCAGATCCCGCCTGACCCTGCTATCAGCCCCCCACGGAGGTTCAGCGGGGGGGGGGGGGTAACCCTCCCCCCCCCCCCCGCACACCGGGCACGGATCACCAGCCCTCCCCAGCCCGCCGGGCTCCACCTGGGCCCACATCAGCGCCAGCGGGTAGCAAAGGCTGTCCCCCTCCGCCGCCCGCAAACCTGTCCGTCCCACCCCCTCCTGCCACGTGCGTGCGGGGTGATTGACTGCACGGAAGCAGCTTTTCCTGAGATGCCCTGTCCCGCCCGCTCCCCTCCACCTGCACACAGCCGGCTGTGCACACGCGCACACGCACACACACACACTCCTCCGAGACCATCATGCACGCACGCACACTCCTACTCAGGGGTGACCCCCAAAGTGACAGACTAGAACCTGAGACAAAGACCTGGGGGACCCCAGGGGGAGAGGGGAGAAGAGAGGGAGACGGGGAGGGGCCCT